CTAACCTAATGGTTGCGACAATGGATGGGTCTGTGGTAATGGAGATGCCAACAATCACCGAATGTGACGAGATCCCTAACGAAAAACATGAAATACCCACCTTCGAGGTAATAAAACACCATGCGCATCTGAAGGACTTACCTCTACCACCCATAGATCCGTGCGCTGAGATTTTGGTTTTAATTGGTAGAGATCTTTTGGAAGCTCATCATGTTCAATCTCAGAGACTAGGACCAAAGAACTCACCTTTCGCTCTACAGCTTAGACTGGGTTGGGTTGTGATTGGAGACGTATGTCTCAACAGGGCACACAGGCCTTCAAACGTTAGTGTTTATAAGACAAATGTTATAACTAGTGAAAGGCAGTCCATTTTCCAACCATGTCCGAACAAGTTTCATCTCACTGAGGACGACACATCTAACCATGAGGACATTGGAGCCCATGTCTTCAAAAGAAAAGCAGATGATGATCAGGTCGGTCTGTCTCTTGAAGATCATCAGTTTATTAAAATCATGGATGAAGGGTTTGTGAAAGATGAGGATGGACGGTGGAAGGCTCCACTTCCCTTTAGATCTCCAAGACCTCAGCTGCAGAATAACAGACTTCAAGCCCTGAAATGTGCCCAGGTGTTGGACAGTGATCTGAAAAGGAATCCTATTAAGAGAGAACACATGATTACCTTCATGAAATCTATCACAGAGAGTGGTGCATTAGAGGTCGCTCCACCAGTTCCACAAGGAAAAGAGTGTTGGTTTTTGCCTCTTTTCGGAGTGTACCATCCCAGGAAACCAGACAGGATACGTGGAGTGTTTGATTCTTCGGTGAAGTTTGAGGGTCTATCCCTTAACAATGTGCTTCTCTCAGGACCAAATATGACCAATGACTTATTAGGTGTTCTGTTGAGATTCCGCATGAACAAAGTCGCTATCATGGCAGACATTGAGAAAATGTTCTATTCATTCCTCGTAAGAGAAGAAGATAGAGACTTCTTGAGGTTCTTTTGGTATAAGAACAATGACACAGAGGAAGATTTAATGGAGTATCGGATGAAGGTTCACGTGTTTGGAAACACACCATCCCCAGCCGTCGCAACCTACGGTCTAAGAAAAACTGTAGAAGATCAGGACGAAGATGTAAGAAAATATGTGATCAGGAATTTCTATGTGGACGACGGACTTATCTCCCTACCTACAAGTGCCGAAGCTATTGACCTTTTAAGGAGAACTCAAAGTGCATTAAAGAAAGCTAACATCAGACTGCATAAGATCGTATCCAACGATGTGGAAGTCATGGAAGCTTTCCCATCAGAGGACTTGGAAAAGAACTTGATGGCACTGGACATCGGATCAGACGACTTACCTGTCCAGCAAAGTCTAGGTCTGGCATGGGACATAAATGCGGACAGCTTCACCTACAACACACACATTCCAGTAAAGCCATTCACAAAGAGAGGACTGCTTTCTGTCATCAACAGCTTGTTTGACCCTCTTGGCTTCATTGCGCCCATTGTGATACATGGCAGGATCCTGTACAGAGAGCTGGGTGAGCATAACAGCAGCTGGGATGATCCGCTTCCTGAAGGTCGGGAGAAAGAGTGGCTACAATGGAAAGACTCCCTTCAAAGTCTAGAAGGTTTACACATTCCGAGAATGTTCACTCCACTTTCCTTAAGCTGTGCTGATTTGAAGGAATTGCATGTCTTTTCTGACGCTTCCGAGAAGGCGATATCAGCTGTAGTGTACTTGCGAACAGTTAGCAGTTCAGGTGACATTCAGGTTGGATTCATCATCGGAAAGTCGAAGATAGCTCCACTTCAGTCCACAACAATTCCACGTCTTGAACTATGTGCGGCTGTTTTAGGCACAGAATTAGTCCAGATTGTGATTAGACACTTAGATATTGAACCAGATTCTGCTACTTACTATACAGACAGCAAAGTGGTGCTAGGGTACCTGAACAATCACACTCGCAGATTCTATAACTACGTCTCTAATCGGGTTAGTGTCATACACAGAAGATCTAAACCTCAGCAATGGAGTTTTGTACCGACTTCACAAAATCCAGCAGACATAGGAACAAGATGTTTGACATCTGTGGAGCAGCTAGCTGAGAGTGATTGGCTTCGAGGACCGCCTCTACTAAGGTCTCCTCAACCCGATGAAGAAATACTTACCTTTCCATTGATTTCTCCAGACATGGACAAAGAGATACGCCCAGAAGTCAATGTGAAGAAAACTGAAATACACACACCATTGGTGACACGATTTGAACACTTCTCCACTTGGAAAAGTTTAGTTCGAGCCATTACAAATCTGAAGAAAATCTGCAAGTTGAGGAAAGGAAACATCAACTCACCATCACAAAGTGTCAAGGACACTCAGGAAGCAGAACTATTCATCATACGGACGGTCCAAGCATTCTTCTATGAGGAAGAAATCAAACTAATCAGAGACAGTAAATTGTTGCCCTCATCGAGCAGCATCTTGAATTTACATCCGTTCTTAGATGACCAGGACATTTTGCGTGTTGGAGGACGTCTCAACCAAGCTCCTTTGTCCTTTGATGAGAAGAACCCCATCATCTTGCCCGCAAAGTCTCATGTTGCAAAACTTATTGTGACTCATTTACATGAGAAAGTGTACCACCAAGGGAGGCTTATTACAGAGGGCAAAGTGAGATCAAGTGGTTTTTGGATTGTTGGATGCAAGAAACTGGTCAATTCTATCATACGCAAGTGTGTTGTGTGTAAAAAACTTAGAGGGAAGTTGGAGTGTCAACGCATGAGTGACTTACCGGCAGACCGTGTCACACCAGGACCACCTTTCTCTGCCATAGGAGTCGATGTTTTTGGCCCATGGTCTATAGTCGCACGCAAGACTAGAGGAGGATTATCACACAGCAAGAGATGGGCTGTTCTCTTTTCCTGCCTAACTTCGAGAGCTATCCACATAGAGGTGATAGAAGAGATGAGTGCCTCATCATTCATAAACGCATTACGACGTTTTGTTTCCTTGCGTGGTCCGGTCAAGGAAATACGGTCTGATAGAGGGACTAACTTTGTAGGTGCTCTAGACGTCATTCAAGCAGAGGCAATATATACAGAAAAGGGACCACTAAAAGATTACCTGCATGACAATAAAATAACATGGACATTCAACCCACCCCATGCTTCGCACAGAGGAGGATCTTGGGAGCGAATGATCGGGATCTCTAGGAAGATACTCGATTCCATGTTACTTAACCCTAATATGAAGCAGTTATCCCATGAAGTATTGTGTACTTTCATGTGTGAGGTGTGCGCTATCGTGAACTCTAGACCAATCTGTTCTGTGTCGTGTGATCCTGACAATCCGTACGTCATCAGTCCGTCAATGCTACTTACCCAGAAAAGTTTCCCTGACGTTCTTCCAAAGGATTCATCGGACATCAAGGAAATATATAAAGCGCAGTGGAAACATGTGCAACATCTTTCTGATACCTTCTGGAAGAGATGGAAGGATGGATATTTGCAACATCTCCAGCATAGGACAAAGTGGCAGTCTGAACATCCGGATATAAAAGTAGGGGATGTGGTACTGTTACGTGAAAAGGAGTTACACCGTGGACAGTGGCCTATGGGTCTAATCGTTCAAGTTTTCAAGAGTGATAGTGATCAAAAAGTCAGAACTGTTCAAGTTCGTGTTGTCAGAGATGGCAAGGACACTACATACATTAGACCAATTACAGAGTTGGTACTGTTAATTGATTGACTTAAACTCAATTGTTCATTCTTACAGTCATCTATGATGTAACGTGATATTTGTTTTTATTTTTTTTATATATGTTGTATGTTTGAGTTAAGTAATATCCTTAGGATATTAGGCGGGGAGTGTGATGTTTACGAAACCTTTTACGTACGACTTTACTTTTGTTTTCGTTATGTCGGCAAGAGCTGAGCATGTTGTCTTACTTCATTTGCAGTGATTTATGCAGTTCCATAGTGTAAGTTGTATACTTAAATGCTTTAATTGTGTAAACTTATGTAATAGATCATTATTCTAAGGTGCATAAGAATGCATACTGTGTTAAGATGCACAATTTCTTGATTTGTCGGTTGGCCGACATGACCTATTTTCTGCATAGTGCGCAGATTTGTGTATTGCGATGTTTGCAATTGAAATGTTGTATATGCATACAATATCACACTGTATTATGTCGATATGAATCGAATCTATCTTTTTCTATGTAATTGATGTGAAATCAAGTATTTAGTATGTAGTAATTGAACGAAACATGATGCACGTGGTTGTTAATTGATTTAAAAAGTATGGAACACAGTTGTGATCTTTATTACATAAGATATTAGAAAGCTATGGAAACACATTATGGTTATAATTGAAAATTCTGAATTATTTTGTCATTATTATTGCATTTTATTGATTTATTGTAAACTGATTGTTTGTTTTGTTTTGATTTTAGCTTTTTACTAATAAAGAAATGGGATACAGTGTGTTCTAGTGAATTCGTCCCATAACACAATCGTTTTCATAACACGCAAACTCAGACCATCAGGTAGCACGGGTAGCTGGCCTGTCAATCAAATCAGAAGCTATTGTTTTCGTAATGATTGACAGGTGGTAAATTATTGATCTTAAATCAGGTAGATTTGGGGGGCGTTAACATAAAATTGGGTGTTTAAGACTACATCCTAGCTAAAGAGTCTTATAAGTTACCTCTACCTAAAATAGCCTCTATTGTTTCTTTTTTTAAAGGTCTTGATAAAACACTAATGATATAATAATATTGCCTTGCCTTGACCTTGATCTTTCTTTTCAAATTGACCTTGGTACAGGATCAAGAACAGAAACAGCTCCCTTTGCATTAACTATATGATACTCATTTTCAAAGTAAAGCCAGACAAAATTAATCTTGTATAACAAAAAAGTGAGATGAAAGTAAAACCCAATAGAAAAGGTTAACAATACCAGAGCTCTTTTCAGTGTCTTGTATTCAACTCTTACTCTTTTTTGATGACAGCGAGATTCCTGACTCTCCCTAGGTCTGCGCTGTTGTGGGATCGCCTTCCCCCTACAATCATCTCGTTAGTACTGAGCTGTGTGGCACACCTTTCAATCATCCTATCTGAGACCTCAATGTGGTAATCACGTAATGTGGCCGTGGAATCAAAATCCACACTATCTGGGTCTTCCTTTGTCTTCTGCTGTGATTCACCAGAGTCTGTCATTTCTCCACCCTGATCACTCTGACTCCCAGGTTCCAGGATTCGGACCTGGGGCTTGGCTATTGGACTCGGACCTCTATCCTCTACATTACTGCCACCCGACAGAGGCTCAGCAAGGGAGGACTTTGTCTTCTGTTTTGTGGGGCTGGCATTAGATTTGTTTCTACTAGGGGTAGCCTTACTGCGGCTAATGGATGACTTTTTCTCTTTTTCTGACAATGTTGCTGGTACCTCTAGATACCTCTCTGCTATATTATATCTATGAAAAAGAAACAACAATGCAATTTACAATTTTACAAACAAGAAAATTGTGATAATACAATTACAGGGAATAAGGATTGCAGCCATCATGGAATGTATTTTTTTTTCTATATAAGGGAATTCAATCTGGTCCAGTTAGGAACATTTCCAGCATGGCTTTTCATCAAGTCAATACTTGCCTAAATCCCTCTATAGGATAGAAGAAAATAGTGCCCGCAGACAGGGCTGAGCACCCCTCGTCATTTAGCTGGTTCACATTGGCCCCATTGTTTAACAATACGTTGATAACATCTGTATGCCAATTAACCTGCAATAAAATTAAGCACAAAATCAATTAATACAGACAATTTAAACTTAACCTTGACTATGATTGAACTCTGAAAGCATGTGTATTTTGAAGGTTTAATATGAAACATATTTCTGTTATCCAGACAAAATGAAATTCAATTCTTACACTCTCTGACAAAATTCCTACTTTTTTAATTTGAAATTATCATTTCTTCAGACATTTTTAAACAAAAATCCTTTAATTCTATTAATGGTCATAAATTTGCATCCCAACTTACACTGGCACCAATGAGTGCAGTGTGGCCATTTTTGTCAGCAACATCAGGGTGGACTTTGCCAGAAGTCAGGAGATCTTCCACCTTCTTAACATCCCCATCCGTGGCTGCCATGATCAGTTCTTCAGATGCAGCCTCTATTGGACCTCTCTTCAGAAAGTTACCTGCCCTGTTTCCCTTCATTATCTCCTCAACATCAAAGGAGACATTCTTCTGCCCATTTCTATGCCGGTAAACATGTCTTTGTATGTCAATCATTCCAGGAGTGCGATTAATGGCTAGAACTTTCTCATCACCATCAGACTTCTCTCCATCCTGGTCTTCAAAGAACTTGTGACAGAATTCAGATCTGTTTATGGCCAGACTAGCGGGATCTAATGTCTCGTTGTACATTTCAGTCACCTTGTCCGTTAACTGGTTCTCTGGTAATAGGTCAAATATGTCCTGCTTACGGTCCTTGTCTGTAGATTCTGACTTCTTCTCTTCTTCGTTCATATTAATATAAAGAACATGTTCCTCTGGACTGAACACAAACTGCTTGTGGTTCTGTATGGTGAAGGCATTACTTATCGGAGTACATATTTTGACTAGTTTCTCCTTGAGCCACAAACCAATATCTTGAGTATTGTCTGCATAGGTCATGACTCCTGGTCCCATTCTCTCATCATCTCTGTAAAGTCCCTGTCATAAAAGTATGCAAGAATTACATTGTTATCATTTTACAGTCTGGATGATGGACACAAGAAATACCATTTGAAACATTAGTATATGTATCATTATACTGAATATATAGAAAATGATTTTGAGCCATGACATATGGATGCACTGGCTAATCTTTAGGAATACTAGTATTCACTACATGTACTGAGTCCAACAAAAAAATCTCTAAAATCCAGACTAACTCCTGGCCCCTTCTGTATAAAAATGTTATTATAGTAATTACACACACTCTTTGTCAACTCCTTTGTGCCAAGCACGAGCTGTATGTCTGTAGAAACAGGAATGGGAAAATTTTGCTGATATATGTAGTGTACTATACAAAACATAGGTGCTCTTTGCTTGTGCCCCATAAATTATAATGTCTAACGACCTTTTTTTGCCTGTCAAGGACTTTCTTTTCTCGGAAATGCCACATAGCCCCCCCCCCAAAAAAAAAGACAACAGAAATTGCATCTGATGGGCCTGCTTCAAATTATGCCAATTATCCAGTTATATAATTAATATTTTATAACTCCTGAAAACTTTTAATCCTTATTGTTAAAATGGCTTGATTCAGCTTATTAATCCATTACATCTGACTTAAAATCAACATCCTTTTCTTAGTTAGAACTTCCAATAGCCCTCCATTCCACATACATGTAATTGCTTCAGTCCATTTATCCTGAACTTCCAAATCTCAAAGTGCTATAATCATTACGTAATAATTTCATACTTCTGTAAGGTAACATAATTGACCTTGTTCAAAGGACTTTAATCCATTTCATACTTCTGTAAGGTAACCTAACTGACATTGTTCAAAGGACTTTAATCCAGGATCAAAGTTCATTCTCTAGCCATAATTAATCTTTTTACCAAGTATGATATTCTTTTGCTTCTCTTATACAAAGGACCCATATTTGAAGAAGAATGGTAAAAAAGACAAACATGGAGATTCTGTTTGAAAAAGGTATTATAAGAGAAATTGATCGAATGATGAACATAATAGTAGTACCCACCTCAAAGTTACTGCCATTGGAGAATGTAAAGACTCCATAGCCTTCCTTCCTGTCCATAAAAAATGTTCCCGTGAACTTTGAGCCGTCTGGCCATGTGTATTCTCCTTTACCATGACGACGATCTTTGTAGAAGGCCCCTTTATAAGTCTGAAAAACAATTTTTTATCCACTTAA